GGTCGTGGCTAGATGGCATCCTCGAGAAGGAGGTATCGAGAAGGCCTGGAGCCGAGATCATCTTCGGAAATAGTCGGAAAATTCAATATGGCGGCTCTATGAATAAATTAAGAGCTCGGCWTGAATAATTGAGATGGAATGTCAATATTTTGCAATTTTAAAGTAATTTAATCAGTCCGGTTTTATTCGTGAAACCGATGTAATGGCCGATATACAGGAAAGTGCATGGAAGTCAGCATATGAAGGTTTTGTAACTAGTATTGAAAGCGCCAAACAGGTTCTGAGAGACTATGAAGAGGAGACATCAAGTAAATTTATTGTAAAAAAGCAGGAACAACTATTTGGTGTGGGCATTGAAGGTAATTACAAGGGTCACTAGGGTCACTCAGCATCACTCCTTATATTTTAATATTCGATTCATGGTGTCATGTGCTGATTTATAGAATTTATTGCTGACCCTCCAAAGTCGACAAGGGTTTACTTTCAAAGCGTAAACCTAAAAAGCAGGAAAGGTGTCTGTATTGATTTCGATGGTATCCCTTACATACACGTGGCAGTGAAGACATTGGAATGCCACCAAGGTCACGATAAGCATGCTAAAGAAAAAACAAAATACCAAGAAAAAGTGGAGCGTCAGCAGGTCAGTTCTCATTTTTATTATCAAAAATAGGGGCTGCCCCCCCCCCCCCCCCAAATTGTCACTGTAAAGTACATTCGCAAAAGTTGATGTGACGTCATGACTATACCGTATAGACGGCGTCTATGACTGTGCCCCCTCCCCAGGTCAAATTTGGCTCCGCCGCCACTGAAAAAAAGGAGGCCAAAAAGGAGGGCGTGCGACGGCGTGCACTCCTGCAACATGTGCAATTTGTGGTGATTAACCGCTACTATCTCCAGCATTCAGAGGGCTTACACGATAGTAGTAACTAACCCACGTGCGCAATCAAGCAGAAGATCGAGAATTAATGATTTTATCACAGTCGTTTGCTGTTTTTTGTCATATCCTGAAAAATCATTATCASAACGTGCGTTTATTTTTCATTATAGGCTCAAGATCACAACTATAAAACCGTAAGAAGGTACCATGCTCAAAAGACCAAAAAGTGTAACTGCCCCGCAATGGCATACATATCTCAMGTACTCAAGCTTCCAAGTTATCAGGTACAAACTATTGATCCCATTGAAATCTTCAATTGCCTACAATTCCGTATCTTTAATCACACAGATTGATAAAAACACCGAGTGGAAACGAAAGCAAGCCTCAGAGTCTATAAGACATGACATTGAGTGCGGTCAAAAACTCATCGGTGAAATGCGATTTTATATTAAGCTCCCAAAAGAAGAGGAACATAGTAACCACTTGATGGGAGAGGTAAGCAAAACTTATTGCCTTATACCTTCTGTATTGTCACACTTGCGCTTATGTTGCTTGCAACTTTATTTATGGAACAGGCGGCTGGAATTAGAGAGCCCGTTGATGAAAGGATCATCAAAAAAATAGAAGAACTCACCAACCACTCCGTAAGGAAGACAGCCGAAATGAAAAGGCATTTAGAAATTTTTATCGCATCGGACTTGTTCCGGGGACGTCGTCCACCCGCTAAGACAAGACGACGCTACTATCCAACCAATAAGGACATCAACAATATTATGCAAAGAGTGAAAGCGGCCAGTCGACATTCAAAGTTGGACCAGGAAAATTTGGACCAACTAATTTCTGAATGGCAAAGTAGGTCCCCCAATGACAGTTTCTTTTTTCGTCATTTCAAGCAAAATGAGTCGGGCGAAACATCCGAGAAGTTGCTCTTTCTTTACCAGAGCAATGAACAGAAACGGCTCCTTAATGTATACGGAAATCAAATGTGCCTTCTCGATGCCACGTACAGAACTACCAGATATGCACTACCCTTGTTTTTTCTGTGCGTGCGCACCAATGTTTCCTACGAAGTCGTAGCCTCTTTCATTACTCAAAACGAAGACAGCGAGAGTATTGCCGAGGCTCTTAGAACTCTAAGGGAGTGGAATCTGGAATGGATGCCCCAATATTGCATGGTAGATTTTGACACTGCTGAAATCACAGCATTGGAGGAAGTATTCTCAGGTACAAATAAGGATTACTTTTGCTAATTCGAGATATACAGATAAATTTTAATAAATCATTATTAATTGCATATTCTTTTGCACAGAAAGCACCGTTCTTTTGTGCGATTTTCACAGAGAGAAGTCATGGGGAGAATGGCTAAGCAAAAGTGACAATGGYTGTACCAGCATTAAAGACTGCGTGCTCGCTTTTCTCAGAGCAGTCGCTAACGCTCCAACCGAATCGAAGTGCGACGACGCAATTGAAAAGTTGCAAAAAAGCTTCATTTGGAAAGCGAACGCCAAGTTGAGAGATTGGTTCAGCAACACATGGCTCCCTGAAAAAAAAGTAAGTCGCGTTAGTAGGTTTCGGATTGTAAATGACGATGCTCATAAATACGTAATGATAATGATATTTCCTATTATTAATTTCTTTTAGCGATGGTGTCAAGCATATCGTACTGAAGACTTCATTATTGCCGTACACACCAATAACGGCCTTGAACGGCAGAATGAAGCCTTGAAGTATCAGTACTTAGAGGGTTATAGAAACTGCACACTAAGCGAAATGTTGACAGTCCTCATTAATCGATTCCTCCCTGATTCGTACAAGGGGTGGGTAGCTGTATATTCCACGATACTATTAGCTATGCATTTAAAACTGCAATATATAATCATTTTCTATTACTAAAAAGAAATTGCATTTCTACTTCTAAAATATCGTTAATTACACATTCCTGTTTGTGAAGGTACTTGACAAAGAATGTACGTGGTAGCGAAGGGTACCGTTTATACAACAAGGACCTTCCAGCCTTTCTTCAGAACAGACCACCATCTATGGTTGACCATATAAGGAAAAACTGGCAAACAGCCTTGTTCGAAAAAGAAGCCCTAAAAGTTACCGACAAGAAKGGTGATGGCCAATTTACTGTTGTAAGTGCATCAAGCAACAAAAAGAAGTACACTGTAGACTTTGGAACCTCAAAAAAATTCCCTTCGTGTGAATGTGATGACTGGCGAAGAAATAGGTTACCATGTAAACATTTTTGCGCAATCTTTCAAAACACTGTTGAGTGGGGATGGGAGAGACTAAGTTCTTCATACACGACGAATCCGTTATTCTCATTGGATGCATTGTGCCTTAAAACCAAAAAGGACGAAGATCTCCTCCAGGAAAACTTAAATGACGACCCACATCCCGAACAATTCACTATCGAATTATCCCCAATCTCCCCAATCTTGGACGAGCCCGCACAAGTTGGCGAAAACCATTTAATTGATCAACCATTGCCACCAAGGAGAAGACACAAGAAAACAATGGAAATAAGCAGCTGTAGAATTATGCTAAAAGAAATTTTAAGCGCATCATACCTTATTAAGGATGCTGATGCAATAACACAGTTAAAACAACTGATCGAGCAATTGCATTCTGTGGTAAAGGGGTTGCTACCCAATGATAATGGGCTTGCACTTGGAAAATCACCATCGCCCAAAAAGGCTAAAAAGAGGAAACATCTGTCTAATAATGAGATTGGTCACGAACTGCAATTAAAGAAGATKCGTGGCCCAGGCCGACCAAAGCACAAATATAGTGGAAGGGTGGGAAAGAAGGCCGACACAATGAKGAAACTTTATAAGACGAACGTAAAATTTCCAAAAACACAGGCTAAAATACTCCAACCTGGATGCAAAAACTGCCCTAAAGAACATCATAAGATTAATACCACCAATACAGAAACTGGTTCAACCGCCTCTACCACCAGTGCAACTAACCCAGCAACGACCTCTACCACCAGCACGACTACACCAGCAACCGCCTCTACCAACAGTGCGAATAGAGCTGCAACCGCCTCTACCACCAGTGCGACTAAACCAGCAACGACCTCTACCAACAGTGCGAATAGAGCTGCAACCGCCTCTACCACCAGTGGGACTACATCAGCAACAACCTCTACCAACAGTGTGACCACAGCTGCAATGACCTCTACCACCAGCGCGACTGCACCAGCAACGGCCTCTACCACCAGTACGACCAGGGCAGCAACCACATCACCCATCTCTACCAGCTGTGCRACTACAACAACAACCTCATCTACAAGCGGTGCAACCAAATGTACAGAAACCAAAGCAAATGCTAGTGCTTATGCCACAAAATTCAGCTCACAAATACCAACTGTATATCTCAAAGGATCTTTTCACCAAGGAAGTAAAAAATTTTGTGTAGAGACAAGAGGGACTCAATGCACCACTAACAGTTTATGCTTTTTGTTAAGCACCTCTCATATGCCCCTTCCAGATACAGCAAGCAACAATTTTGTGGATGGTATACTTTTAGAGGGTGATAAGATGCATTACTTTCTTTCTAAAGCTATAGGTAAACTAGGCAGTCGCCTCTCACTTGAAGAAATCAAAGATGTAACAAGTCACCCAAAACATCTTAAAGGCATTGAGATTGACTTTGGGGGAATAATATCAGGAGACATATTTGGGTCAACTAACGAATTGCCATTCCACACTTTGGAGCATGCCATACAGGTTGTTTTAAGCCAAAATACTGGTGGACTTCTACGATATCTTGAATACACTGTTGCCCTCACCTTTRACCATGGCAAAATCTTGTTGTTTGATTCACATGCAAGGAATGTGAAAGGCTTTGTCGACCCAAATGGAACAGCTGTAGTCTTGAAATTTTTAAAAGTTGGAGATGTGGCAGAATATTTGAGAAGATTTGTGCTGTATAAATGCTCAACCACAATGTCTGAAGTACACAAACTCAAAATCACTGACAGATCTTTTGAGTTCCTTCCAGTAGATGTGATCCTTCTCAAAGTAAGTAATTATTGTGCAGCAACTAATGATAGTGGGCACTGAAGGTTTCAATAAAACCCCATCAATGCCAACCATAATAAACTGTTTAAACATTGAGAATTTTGCTGATTACCTCTGATGAAAAGTCGGCCAATGACTACTGTATAATTTCTACTCTGCAATTTATGGATAATTTTCATATAAATAAAGGGAGGCGAGAAGCACATGTACGTGGCTCACATCTACCCATAGCAATATATTCCGTAAAATGAGCAAACAATGAATATTTCGTTTTTCTTTATCAATCAGGTTGACATTGAAGAACATTCTCAAGAAAAGCCTAAAGCTGAAATATCAGGAATTAAAATTTTGACAAATGACTTGAACACTTTGAGGGATGGACAAAAGCTGAATGATGAGGTACAAGTAAATTCATTGTAGATTATAGAAAGGTTGAAAGTGCACGACAAAACATATTTTGTGGAAATACTACAATTAAAACCAACTTTGCCTTTTCAAATAATTCCAAACTGTTTACACATTACATTGCACCTTGCAACAGATTATAAATTTCTACATGGAACTTATCAATAAAAGAAACAGGAAGGTATGTGTACAGTTGATTTTGATTTTGTATATTGAAAAATAAAGTTATACATTATACATTATTTCCAACATTATTATTTACCCTTCTTACAATTTAAAATTAATTAATCCCAAATTCAAATCAATATTTTATGTAGACTGACAAGCTACCCAGATGTCACTGCACAAATACCTTTTTCTTCAAAAAACTTGCAAAGGATGGAGCCAGTTCTCTTTCTCGCTGGGCAAAGAAGGTATGTTTGATTTCCTAAATAAATTTAAATTATAGTACATTATTTTTTTACTAAACAAAATCATTAATTTTGATCATATTATTTCTACTTGAAASAGATCAATATATTTTCATTGGATATGTTGCTCATTCCCATTAACTGGGATAATTCCCATTGGACACTTGGAGTGAGTAAAACACAAAATACTTGAGTCTTTAATAATACAATTGTCTGCATGTCAAATTTGTAAAATTAACCAAAAGAGTCTTATTGTTAATAGACAAGTGAAAACTGCAAAATATGAAATTTTAGTAGCCTGTGTGCAGGAATTGGCCCAGTTAGGGATGACCACATTGCCTGCATGCAGGCTAATGAATTTTAATAACAAATGGCCAAGTAAATGAAAATCTCAAAATGTCTTCTACTGTAGATCATAGATTTTGTAAAACAAACAATTTATCACCTTGATTCACTACATGGTACAAAAAGGGAGTACTTTACCAACATAAGGTATGAATTTTTTCTTTTTTAATATTATAAATTAAATTAAAATTTAAAAAAAGTAAATATTTATTTAGTAATATTTTTGACACATCTCTTGAAACTTAAGGTTGTTTCTAGAAGAAGAGTCCAGAAGAAACAAAAAAAATATTGACTTTTCCTTATGGCAAGAAATCTCAAGAAAGGTGAGTTTCCTAACACTATAATTATATAATAATATCTTTTGTCCAAAATTATTTGACTCAAAAATCAAGCAAATCCCTCTTATTTCCCTATTTTCAAATATAACTGACGTGAACAAACTTGGACTGTTGAATTTTAGTTGGATATACATGTAGTTATTATATTGTTGTTGATTTTTTTTGTTGATTTATTTGTTAGGACATCCCGAAGCAAACAAACAGTATTGATTGTGGAGTGTTTGTGTGCATGGTAAGGGGGAGGAGTATTGTRCATTGTTTCCAGTTCACATAACTTCATTAATGCATTTTCTACATTATCTTTGTAGTATGCAGAATATTTGACCAGAGGAGACATTCCCACATTCACTCAGGTAAATGTTGTTAAGTTCACCTTTCATCCCTTAAATTGGCATTTGTGACCGTCCTACAAAAAATATAATTGACAAAAATTATTCTAACTTATAGGATGACATACCAGTAATGAGAACAAAGATCAAGTCTGACATCATAAATAGAAGCATTTCTTGATAATGGGCAGTTGACCTTCATTTATGATTGTATATATTATTTACATGAMACAATGTTCAGTAGTTTCTATAAACCTCCCTCTGAGAGATGTCAACCTCCCTCTTAAGGATGCCTTCAAATACTTTAAGTAAAATACTGTCAAGTTTTTTGCATTTTATGTAAAAAAGCACTTATATTATATAGGTACAGTTTCTATAAACCTCCCTCTGAGAGATGTCAAC